TGCATAGCCACAAGTGCACGAGCGGACATAATTATCGTAACCTATGAGTAGGCGATGTAAATATCGGAGTTTCCCAGATAAATCTGTCCGCACAGATGATAACTTGTCCAGTACGTCGGCGGCCCGTGTTGTGTGTGTTCAACGATTTCCTGCAAACTTCTGAACCGATTTAGAAGATTCGTCGATTTATAAATAGATTATACTTCCGGGGTGGTCCCATATAGATGTGAAAAAATAAACTAAAAAAAAAATATTTTTAGTTTTTGAAGTCGGTTTTTACTTTTTTTCAAAAGTTTTGTTTTTCATAGTTTTAAGTGGATTCTGTAGCCCATAGACATCAACATCCGTTCTCAGTTAATAATCAAAATGTGGATGCGTTGTCACCTCAAAAAAAAAACCGACCAAGTGCGAGTCGGACTCGCTCATGAAGGATTCCGTACAAGATTTAATACTATGTATGTAAAAAAAAACGCGTTTCTAATGGGGAGCTCACTTTAATTTTTTATTTATTTTTATTTTTATTATTCATTGTTATAGCGACAACAGAAACACACATTCTGTGAAAATTTCAACTGTCTACCTATTACGGATCATGAGATACAGCCCTCTGACAGACAGACAGACGGACGGACAGTGGAGGCTTAGATTACTCATTTTAGGGTCCCCTTGGTTACCCTTCGGGTACGGAACCCTAAAAAAGGTCTCCGATTCTCTACACTCACCATACGAAACGCATTAAGTTGCTATTTTACGCTGGTATTCTTGGAAAGTGTGATCCTTATCCGGTCGGGCCGACCCATCCGTGCTACAACTGTAATATAGTTGCAGCATGGATCTACCACGTACAAATTTAATAATGATTATTGATTTTTCTAAATTATTGTTTGTTATTGAACAATAATTTAACTTCCATTTGAACTCAAACAGGTACAACTAAAACACAAAAATAGGTACCACTTGGAATGTACTCAGCACGCCGTCTATCTTTCTCTATTTGTTGTTCAATTCAATATTGTGGGAGAACTTATCTTTCCGTATTGTTGTCAATAGTATGACAGCAACGAATTTATTTCCCATAGCATTTTAATTAACATTTTATCATTGTTATCTGTTTATACACGCATCATATTGGCTTGACCTGTATGAAACTATGTGTGTATGTATTTATGTAATAGAATTCTATACTTCACTTTTCATTTATGTCTGAATTTTCTGTAATAGTGTGTACATTGCCCCAAGAATGAGTTACTGACTCTGTGGAGTCTAGAAATTGGTATCACTAGCTTGTGTTTGTTCCTAGTGTTTACAGGGCTCTCTAGGTTTTAGGTTGTAAATAGCCGTTATGGCTCTCTTCTGCAAAACAAAAATAGTTTAAATAAGCCACATTTCCCAAGATAAACCCCAATTTACAATAAAATTAGGAATGGGAATGGAGAACTGAACCTTGAGGGACATCCATTAGTCCAGGTGACCTGGAAAACTTTTACCGTTGATAATAACTGTAAAGTTATGATAATAGGTAGATTGATGGTTGCGGTAACAGGGTCTATACATCCCAGATTCATAGATAAAAGAAATTTAGATTTTTTTTACGTGGAAATATAAAGACATTTTATTTCATTCCACTAGGAATACGTGTACATTTGTCTAAGTTAATAAAACACTGCTGGAAATGAACCTCTCGCGTTGTGGAGACGATTTGCTATAATAATAATTACCATATTTGTTATTTTTGTCATTATTGACCAATTATCGATATTAATTAAAAAAAAATTATCATCTAAACACCTATTACATTAAAGAAAATTAAAATTAATCAGTATAAACATTAAATAAAATTAAAATTATAATTAAAATTAAAAATCAAATTCAAATACGACTCTAGGTCGTGGTGTGTCCAATTCGCAGTATGCAGATTTTTCCAACGCCTCAACATTGGTGAATCTCATCTGTCTGCTAGTACACTGAGGATGTGTTTTGATTCAGCATGGAGGCACATCTTTTGCGCGTTATGGCTTAAAACCTGATGGATTTACACATGAGCCTCTGCAAACAATGGTCTCACATGGCAAGCGGATTGACGACCCCCAATACCAGATGATTGGCACCTTTGGCCACGTCCAGGTTGGTCTATTTCTGATGCCAAGTAGTTGTGGAAATGTTGTTGAATTCCCGTTCGAGATTGGAGAGCATAATTTTGGGCTGAATTTCATATTAGTTCTTAAGAGCGACGTTATATTTAGATTTTGTTGCTTGAGGCTCAGATAGACAAAGCGAGACAGACGGAGCGCTGCGAACATTTCAGGTGACGTCAAAATCAAGCCAAAACTATTCACAATTTATTGTAAGATGCATATGAAATCATTTGCAACCAACAACATGGTTTTAGATGCATATGCGTGCATTTTTTTATAGAATAAAGATGACAAACGAGCACACAGTCCACCTGATGTGACATCTACATCTATCTTCGTTTGCGAATTAAAATGCAGATGCGTTGTCACCGTGAGGACTAAGATAGATTGCCTCTTTTCCATTAAAATGGGTCTCCGGTTCACACTCACCATACGAAACACAGCAGCATTAAACTGCTTTTTTACATTGGTATTTTGTGAGAGCGTGGTCCTTCCCCGGTGGAGCCGACCCATTCGTGCTACAACTATACTATTAATATAGCTACATCATGGCTTTACCACGTAATAAATTTAGCGGTAAACTTCTACGGGCTACATGTAAAGAAGTTAATCATGGTTTAGGTACCACCTGGAATGTACGCAGTGCTCCGTATATCTTTCTATGTTAGTTTGAGCAACAGCCAAATACACTACTTTTAAATATGCACGAGTATATACTTCTCCCATATTAAAATTTAAAAAAAATAGTCCCGTCTGCATTATTCAGGCCCTAGTAATTCACGCTTTGTGCATTTTTGCTCTAAAATGCCATTCATTTGGTACGATTTGGATTTCACGCGTCTGTAAATAGAATGGTTGGAAAATATTTCAACATAATTAATAGAATCAGGCGTTACTTTGCGGAAATCAATTATATAATAGATTTTAGAAAAATTTACTTCGCAAATATCCGCGTTATAAAATAAAATGATGTATCTTACCTAATATGAAGAGCACTTCCCGCCCTCCTTTAATTGCGTGCATTATCCCCGTCACCACTTACCCCAGCACCGCTACTCCCAACACCACTAAACTAGGCAAGACACACCACTGACGATAATACGATACGTGTTTCGCGCGTTTACGGTGGCTAACAGCTAAAGTTAGCGGTTAGCCACCGTACTACGGTAGGCGTGTGTATCTCTTTACGGAAACGACTCACTGATACGAATCACTGAAGTGACACAAAAGATTGGTTCAGTAACAACGTTTCAAATATATCATTTGGATCTGGAACAGTGAAACATTACTTTACTCTTTACTCATTTCGCGCGACGCGTCGCTTGCGAGGCGACTGAGCCACGAGCGAGAGAGAGAGACTGAGACAATAATTAACTTAACTATTGACTAACGAGTGGCGAGTGAGCGGGCGAAATAATTATAATTCACACAAGTCAGATAGAGATAACAAATAAGAAGTGTATCACTCAACTCGTACGGATTTTCGCTGACGTTATTCATGCACGTAAAAATTACCACTAAGGCGCTTATCTGTCAAATACTATACGGTCGTTTTTTATATGTAACGTTTGCATTAACAAGTTGTCATTTTACGTTGATGCGGCACTTGTCAAATTGTTTATATTCATTAGCGCCTGTTTACGAAAACATACTGAGTTATGTTTAGGATTTCTTTGCGTTGTGATTATTGTGACTACTTTCTTCCTTTTCATCATAAAGTTTAGAGTTATGATACTTTACAAGTAAATTCTGTGTACATAGACATTGCTGTTTTGTGTAAATGGACATTTTTGTAAATAATGAATTGACATAGTGACATTTTTGTTAAAGTATGAAGGAGAATCGATTTTATATACAATCTTATTACGGTACACAATAAAAAATCTAAGCACTTATATTATTCAGCATTGTTGCCACATAACATTTCACGGATCAGTCAGTAATAAACGCCCGCGACGCAACTTAATGTATTCGGAACATTCTTTCTTTTATATCTTTTGAGTCGATGATACAAATGAGCCAAATGAAACATATCAGTGTTTCGGAACATTTCAGTGATCAAGATGCAAATGTTCCAATCCCAAAAATGATACACTATGCCCACCTCCACACCGTAGTGTCTATATCACCTGAGGATGCCTCGTGTAGAGGCGAAACACGTGTCTTATTATCGTCAGTGGTGTGTCTTGTCTAGTGTAGTGGTGTTGGGAGTAGCGGTGCTGGGATTAGTGGTGACGGGGATAGTGCACGCAATTGAGGGAGGGCGGGAGGTGCTCTTCATACTAGGTAAGACACATCATTTTATTTTATAACGCGGATATTTGCGAAGTAAATTTTTCTAAAAGCTTTTAAATATTTCAACATATTTTCTACCAAAAAATCAAATGCTGAGGATATTGAATAAGGAATTTTGGCGCAATTGCAATTGTAGCTTATTTCAAATTTTACCAATTTTTTTGTAGATACTTTAGTTTATAACTTTCCATAGTTCATATTATAAGATTCAAAATAGATAATTATTTATAAATTTATGACTTAGCAACAACTGTATCTCTCAGGTTTCCGTGGTTGTCTTTAAGCACCTTATATGTAAGGTGACATAACATACCTTTTTACTGTATTTGTTGCGTGTCAAACTTTGTGTTATTCTAAATAAATAAAAAGCGGATCAATTAAAATAGCAGGTATATACGAGTATATACATTGGCATCATTTTATGACAACAATCCCGAAAAGCAAAGAAACGTATGAAAGGGTGCAAAAAGTATGTCACATGAAGAAAATATTAATTATTTTTATTAATATTTAATGTATATTAGAGTTTTATGTCAATTATGTTCACACTATATTTTTTTTTAATTTCAGGAAAGGTCACGGTGGCCGATCTTTTGGCTGCCTATACTTATGGCGGCGTCAGTCTGCGGCAGTGATATCCTCATGATAACTATGGGCGGTACGAAGTCACATAAAATGCCGTTTTGGGAACTCGCCAGAGGAATGATTCGAAGGTATTATTTTTGTGAATTCTTTCATTTTAAATTTCTGAAGTTAACGTAACATTTAAAATACATTAATAATGTCTGATATCTACATCGGTACAATTCGTGGCGTATTAGTACACAGATAAAAAATAAAATTGGAAATTAATGTCATTCTGTGCAATTTTCGATATGGCAACAATTTTCTTATTTAACCAAAAATTAACAATGAGTATTTTCGCAAAAATGTTGGCCCAGACCTTTAGTAAACTATTTAGTAATCTGTGCCCAGACTGAGTTTTGAATCCACGATTTATTAACTGTGCTCTAGACCCGAGACACAGCCGTTTTCTAGATTACGATTCTAGGATTCCTTTTCAGCATAGACTTCCGTCTGAGTCGGTACAGGTGGTATCTATTTCTGCCACCCCATAGCAGTACCCAGTACTGCTGTGTTCTTCTATGAAGGATATATAGAGTCAGTATAATTAAAAGCTGTGAGTCATACCATCTTAGGCCTCATAGGTGATAACGCATCTGTGGTCTTCTTTATTGAAAGTTAGTTGTAGACGTCCATATGCTTGTAATCTGACAGACTGGACGTTCGTTTGTTATTTCAATTTTATTTTTAAAAAAACTGGCTGTTCCCCGCGACTTCACTCGCATGTTAGGGTTTTTATGTTTTTGCGCGGAACCCTAATTGTTTTTCTAAAATAAAAGTAGCCTAAGTTACTCCTTATGAAATCAGCTATCTACCAGTGAATGTCCGGTCAAAATCGGTCCAGCCATTTCGGAGATTATCCGGAACAAATAGACAGACAGACAGACAGATCTATAGACAGACAGATAAAAATTTAAAAAATTGTATTTTAGTTATAAGTACCGTATTTATATTCTTATGCATTTAGTAAAAAAATTGTAATTTTGACATTACAAACACACTACAATTTTATTTATTTGTATAGATAAAGACAGGTTTTCTGACTACTATACCACGTGGACGTCAAAAATTACATCATATTTATTAATTATATATAGTAAAGTAAAGTTACATCCTATATACGTCAATCCGCTGTACACGGACCTCCTCTCACTTCTGAGAGGGTTTTAGGGCTAAGGAGTGGGAAGAGCCATATGCTCAATTTAGAAGGGTCATGTAGCAATTAATTTGCAACGCGGTGCCAGTGAGTGTTGGTGGACTTCACAAGTCTCCTAAGGATGTTTTCCTTGAATGCCGAGCACCTGGATATCAGCCCTTAAAATTGCAATAAACAATTACATTGGTGACAGTTGGGATCGAATCCGGGTTGCTATGTATATGAAATTTAGGGCGTAGCCTCTGAGCTAAGACGGTCCCCTAAATATTATTTTATAACTATACTAACGTTACGCCCCTGCATCGCACGGGTGATTTATGTATCTCGACAACAGCACCACCTAACGGGTCACCCCTGAGGACTAAGATGGAATGACTCGTTTCCAGTAAAAAGGGTCTCCGGTTCTCTACACTCACCATACGAAACAGCAGTATTGAGCTGCTATTTTACACTGGTATTCTGTAAGAGGGTGATCCTTCCCCGGTCGAGCCGAACTATTCGTGCTACTTCCATAATATAGCTGCAGAATGGCTCTACCACCTGTTTAATTATTATTATTTATGCATATATTGTTGCAGATCATGTAATTAATAAGACATTTATCATAATAAATTTAGCCTTGTTATTTCTTTGCTTCTCGTGTCCTGTCAAACGAACCTAAATTATGAAATTGCGCAACAACCAGGTATATTCTTAACGACCAGACACTGTGCAAATGAAGTTATAATACATTGTCCGATTTGACTCGTTATGCATGTGCGGGCACTGAACACAATGCCGTCATTAATCATGTGGTCCAAAGAGTGTATTATCACTAATTTTTATTATGCACATTTTTAATTTATTCAATAGTATTTTAGAAGGAACAAAAGAAATAATTTTACCAATTTATTACTGCTTTACAGAGGTAACAACATCACATTAATCAGTGCATTTCCACCTGACTTTCACATACCTGGCTTAGAAGAGATCGCGCCGGAGGGATTGGCTTCATATGTGCGCGGCTATATGACCTTCGACTTGGTCGGCGCACGGATGAGGGGAGAAGAACCTCTTCCTTTATACGACATTCTCCGATATGGATACGAGGTAAAAGGTCGCGACAGAATGTTGAAGATTATTAAAAAATTATTAATATAACAATTTTTCTCATTATTGAAAGATTGCACTGCTGCAGTTTCTTTTTATGGAAGTACAAAGTCCATATAGTAGTAAGTGTATGCTGCGGCGCATAAACATCTCTACATCTATCTTCAATTTAGAATCAAAATTGACATGCGCGTCACTCTTGAGGAAGGGTCCCTGGTTTTTATTACTCACCAAACGAAACACAACGACATTATGCTGTGCTATTTTTCGCTGGTCCTCTATGCGTGCGTGATACTTCCCGGTCGAGCTGGCCTATTCATGCAGCAGCTATGATTCGCTGCAGCATCACTCTATTACGTAGAACGGGTGGACGGGGAGTTTATGTGCAATACATTTTTTTTATATTGCCTATGGTTATCTAGTTTATATAGAAAATATTGACCTTACAACTATTTCCATGGCGTAACAAAATTTCAGTTTTTATCACTGTGTATTAATCGACTACTAATCCTTGCAATAGACAAAATTATTTATTATTGTAATTGAAGACACTTGGCACGTAGAAATTTGATAAATGTCATCAGTCTGTGTTTTTTGGACTAATTACATTTTTGTTTTTTATCACACTTAGGGAATGAGATGAGCTAATTTGACCTTTCTTATTTTCTACCTCATCGGCCTATTAAAAGTCCACTGGACCTGCGCCACTCCCTTTATAAGGAAGATTTGCCTCCGTTATCACAGAGACACCGTTGAAACAGAATCAAAATCAGAATTTTTTTATTCAATATAGATTATAAATAATGCTTATTGAAAGTCACTCTTTTGTTTAATCACCACTGGTTCGAAAAAAACCTATGTCCTGGGAAGAACCAGCAAGAAACCAAACCGGACTTTTTTTTAATAATAACATCTTACAATCATGTAATCACAATTAGCCACACAAAACAGATTAGAAATAGCTTGGTAGCGATCACCTCATTCCCAGGAGTTATTATTATCATCAATAAATCCCTTAATATTATAATAACCCTTTTTATACAAACTTAGTTTAATAAAGTGTTTGAACTTTAAGCAGGTCAAATTTTGTATAAAAGTAAAGTAAAGTTGCAGCCTATTTACGTCTCACTGCTGGGCACAGGCCTCCTCTCATTTCTGAGAGGGTTTTAGGGCAAGGAAATGTACGCCACGCTGCCCCAATGCGTGTTGGCGAACTTCACATGTCTTTGAAATATTTTTTTTCTTATTTCTCGGACATGCAGGTTTTCTCACGATGTTTTCCTTCACCGTCGAGCACGTGGTAAATCAGCCTTAAAATTGTAATTAACAATTTCATTGGTGCTAGCTGGGATCGAACCCGGGTTGCTCGCGTACTGTGAAGCTTACAGCGAGCGCTAACCATCTGAGCTACCACGGCTCTTTTGTATATATTAATTTTGTATATTTTATGGGATTTTGTTCTAAAAGCGTATCCATCGCTCCAAGTACTGACTCGGTGGAGTCGAGGAACAGACACTGTTTGTACTGTGACTGTACTGTTTCTAGTATTTACAGAAGGAATATCACTTATTTTTGAAACACCGTAAAACAGAAAATTGTATCGCCTCTTACGACGAAATGTGGTGATTCATTTACACACAATCATACGGCACAAATAATTTATTTAGGATGAGCAATAAGACATTATAACACTACACCTTGTAATATAATATTATTCTTTATATTTTTATACCGGTAAATCACATATGTGCAAAGATTTGTATACATACATATGTACATAATATGCATATTTAAAAGCTTTGCATATGAAACGTAAACATTGCTCATATATTTACATTTGCAAATCTATATGCACATACCGTCATAAAATCAAATATAAATGCAAATGTTTATTCTAGACCTCGGTCTCTTTGAACGATGCATGATGAAAATTTATAAAAATTGTTGATTATTCGATACACGAGTTTATTATTTAAATTAATCTAAATTATACGTACGCCACAGTTGTATCAAGGGTTGTCAACGTTTTTATTTTGAATTTTGTAATTTTTAATATAATGTAATTTTTTTTTTATAATTACATTAGATGGCTAAAAAATAAAAAAATATGGCAAATGTTGGCAAACCTGTACAGAGTAGGTATTATGCAAATACTTTCGATTACTTGTGGATTTGTATATAATTTGTGTATATCTGAGTGACTGGCATAAGATGATACTTAAATGTAAACGTAGTGATTATATTCTCTTTGCTTAAATGTCTTAATTATTATTGGTTACCATAACAATTAGTTATATTATTATAGGTACAGATATCTCGTGGGCGACTAATTGTATAAATAAATAAATTTGAATTAAGTATAACGGTAAAAATAAACTTATTAATATTTAAATTGCAAACTTAAATAACTATACGAAATAATGTTCTCCAGGCATGTGACGCATTCCTCAATGACTTCGAGACAAGATCCTTCCTTCGATCTGGAAGAACCTATGATCTTATCATACTTGATGGCGCATATCCTGAGTGCGCATTGGGAGTGGTTTATCGACTGAAAGTGCCTTTCATGTACATCAACACTGTTGGTTTCTATTCTGGTCCGGCGAGTATGTCCGGTAGTCCAGCTCCTTACTCCGTCACTCCATTCTTTGGAAGAGCATTTACGGATAACATGGGTTTTATAGACAGGGCTTTGAATGCAGCCTGGCATATAGGATCCTTGGCGGCACATCGGTTCAGTATGACGATACTTCAAGGCGTATTACGAAAACACTTTGGACAACAGATCCCCCATGTGTATGATATGGCAAAGAACGTGAGCTTTATTCTTCAGAATGGACATTACTCTGTGTCTTATCCTCGTCCGTACTTACCAAATGTTGCGGAAGTCGCTTGTATCCATTGTAAGGAGCCGAAGAGATTGAACGCCGTGAGTATGTTTTTTTTTATATAGAACTAGCTGATACCCGCGATTTCGTCCGCGTTCCATGATATATTAACAAAGTTTTCGATGTATATATTATATAATATATAAATACACACATCACGGAACACGTAGTGAATATAAAAATCATTGTTTCTTAAGACTTTAAATTTTTTAATATTAAATGAAGATATCGCTATTTTTTTTTTAGATAAGGACCAAGTGTTTCATAAAAGAAAGTTAGAAAACTTAATTGAAATCTATCATGTAGGTTTTTCCGTGATGAGCGCACAACTGCAAACCTCTATCATTTTATTTATATAGATTATTATTATTAATATTTTCATAATTAAATGGGAAGTGCTATATATATACATATATAGGCTTAAGTACTGATGGACAGAATTAGATCTCTTTCCATCTCGAAACATTTAAAGTATGTTTTTACGTTTGGCAAAAGTAAAAAAGTCTATTGCCGAACATATGCTTCCCCCATAGATGGCAACCGTAGTTGGATAGTTGGGCGGGTTGGAGTTGTAACCGCAGTTTTATCAAGTTTTTATCAGAAAGATGCTGCTGTTTTAATATTTTTTGTCGACTCTCACGACACCCACGGAGTGATATGGGAAAGTGGATTCTAATTTATGGAGAATGCAGTCTTGTATTAATTTAATAACCTGATTTATTTTGATTCTAATATGTAATGTAAACAACTAATTAGCCTAGATTAAGTCATATGACCTATATACGTATAGATATAAACTATCAACTATAAAGTTCATTCCATGTGTCACCTCATAACATTCTTTGTGGATACCTTGAGAAGTTGATATTTTTATTGAAAAACAAAAAAAACTTTTTTTATAGGATAAGGGTAACAAACGAGCTCACAGTCCACTTAATCCTCGATTACGAATCAAAATGCAGATAGGTTGTCTGTCACCCGTGAGGACTAAGATGGAATGCCTCGTTTCCAGTAAAAAGGGTCTCCGGTTCTCTACACTCGCCATACAAAACACCGCAGCGTTAAGCGTCTTAAAATATTTTCGATAAATAAGCCTAAGCTCTTATCAGCTTTTGCTATATTATGAGGATATTTATATATCTATTAGTATGGGCGTTATTCCAACAATTTTTAGATTTCTCAAAAAAATCTTAAAATTTTTCTGATAAAATATGGTCTAGATCACTTCTGGCATTGCTGTGTATCTTTTTGTGCAGTTTTTTTGGAAGATTAGCCCGGACAGGCAGACAGACAGACAGACAAACAGGCAAAAAATCTAAAAATGGTTATTCATGTCATGTAAATAACACTCTGAGCTCAATACAAGGCAGTTATTTTATAGACACATAATATACTTCAATGTACTTCTTCTGTGTAATGTTTATATGTACATGTTTAAATTGATACAAGTGTTATAATATTTAACCAGGTCATTGAAGAATGGATCGCTGGTGCAGGCGACGCTGGTTTTGTCTACGTATCTATGGGATCTTCAGTAAGGACCAACAAAATGCCACTTGCCGCCCATCATATGATCGTCAAAGCTTTAGGTCGCCTACCGCAGAGAGTTCTTTGGAAACAGGACGCGGAGCAAAACCTAACGGACATTCCATCAAATGTGAGGCTTTATAAATGGCTGCCGCAACAAGATTTACTTGGTAAGCAATGTTCGGCTGAAGATAATTTCTAGCAGTGTTATAAAGATGAATCCATATTTTCTATGGTTGTCGATAAAAAAGGATAAATTCACTTAAAAAAAATCAAAAGTGAATTTATCTCATAATTTGATAGAGTTTAAATTTTATCCATTGAGAAATACAATTTGTGATTGGTTTCTCATTGGACAAAATTGATTTATGAAATGAAATAAAAAATATTCAGGACATTTGATTTATGTCCTGATATTTTTTATTTTTCTCCGATTTCTACATCATCGCTCTGTAAAAGTTCATTGCTATTATATACATCCTCTCTAAAGAAAGATGCATTTTATTATTTTATTACATAAAGTGTGATCATCTAGCATCTATCATTTTAAAATAAAATATGAAGTCTATATACGTGCCAACTGCATGGCACAGCCTATTCTAGTTTCTGAGAAGATTTAATAAGCACTCTGCAATCTGGTTCGATCCCCACCGGTATCAATGAAATTGTTTATTTCAATGTTAAGTTTTGACTTATCACGTGCGCGTTTTTGAAGGAAAACATTACGAGGAAACCTGCGTGTCGGAAAAATTAAAATAGGTGATATTTATTTTTTATATGATAAGGGTGACAAACGAGCACACAGTCCACCTGATGGTAAGTGGATGCTGTGGCTCATAGACACCTACATCTATCTTCAATTAAGAATCAAAATGCGTTGTCACTCCTGAGGAATTAGACGGAATGCTGCGTTTCCAGTAAAAAGAGTCTCCGATTCTCTACACTCACAATACGAAACATAGCAGCATTGAGCTGATACTTACTAAATTTTACATTGGTATTCTGTGAGAGCGTGCGAGCTACATACGATATGAGGGAAATATGGATGCAGCATGTATATATCCAACATCCCATTTTGTATGATAATCTTGCGTAATATTTATTTATTATTTGTTTATTTGTTTATTTATTTATTTCAACACTTACAACTATCTTTACAGGTAATCCTAATACGATAGTGTAACTATTCTATATGCTATTATTATAACTTTTTTATGTGCTATTATATTTTTAAATTTGGTACATAACAAATAATGTATAATGCTATCTTTGTGAACTCACTCAGTGGACAGCAAAACAAGTCTATTTCTCTCGCTATCAAATTAAGTGCGCAGAGAGCAAGTGTGAGGGGCGCCTGACGCATTAGGTTTGTCCTTCCGTTCGGCACGGCAAACAGTTGTGGCCGTCGCCGTCTCCCTATGTATCCGTCGCTGTCTCCCTATGTATCCGTCGCAGTCTCCCTATGTATCCGTCGGGTACATACATGTTAAATTGTTTTAGTATGTCAGAATTAAATATTTTCCCTATAAGTACTTTATAAATATATAAAACTAGAGTCTATTTATTAATGTAAACAAGACGTTTGCAGTAAACATGCATTCATGTTTGGTATATCATTTGTCGCGTTATTAAGCTTTTAGTGCATAGATATTATGCAAACCTTGAATGATAATTTTAATACTAGACCCCGTTTTGCCTAATAATATGCATATGCATTCTCGTTGCGGTAGAGTCTTGTTTGAGCGCTGTCATTACTTCGAATTGCTTATCGCAATGGGCCTTTTCTTTTTCAAGTAATATAAACTTTTATAAATAGTAAAGTGTGGTAGCTACCAGCCGGCATCAATGAAATTGCTAATGAATAAAATTCTTGCTATGGGACAATTTATAACTTAAGTTCGAAGGAGTCGCTTCGAGAAAAAATTAAAGATATATATCTATATATATATATATATATATATATATATATATATATATATATATATATATATATATATATATATATATATATATAAGATATTTATAAAGCATAAATTGTTTAGTAGGGGTTATTATTTAAAATACTAAATAGTACTAGGCTCCACGTGGTAGAGCCATGCTGCAGCTATATTATGGTTGTAGCACGAATGGCTCTAACACGTTTATAAAATTAGAGCAAAACGTTATGAGGAAACCCGTATGCCTGAGAAATAAAATATTGTAAATACGTAGCTCGCTAAACGCATTAGAGCAGCGCGGATCAGTTACTCCATAACGCTCTTAGAAATGAGAGGTAGGCTGTGTGTGAGAGGAAGGATGACGCGTTTACAGATTACTAGTGTAACATAGCAGAATAATATTGGTCCATTTTAAGTTGCCGTAAACCCGAAGAGGGAAAGTTTTTGAAAGAAAGTTAATAAAGTAGGTACATGAAAAACTATAATAATAAAAAAAAACTAAAACTAGAAACTTAATAATCATCTAGTCCTACTTCCCGCGGTATCGTGCCAAAAACGCTGGCTGCGTTTCCCTCCTGAATGGTTTTGAGCGAAAAAATGAAATACAGGTCACTAGTGATCAATCTAATGTTTCAGCTCCAGAACAAAATTTAGATCAGTTGAGGTCGATCTAGTTCCCGGTTCGATCCATTATAGTGTAAAAGGGAACAAAGCATTAAATATATTATTAAATCTGGATTGGTGACCAGGTCAAAAACTTGGTAAAAATAATAGGTTTGCGAAAGCCTTATTTCTTATGGTTAGCACTGCTCTTATGGTCAGTACTGCTGTAGATACTGTAGTCCAAAGACACATCTATCATCGATTAAGAATCAAAATGCGGATATCTTCGCTGTCTCTACTTAAGGACTAAGGTGGAATGCCTCGATTCCAGTAAAATTATTCTCCGGTTCTCTAAACTCACTAAACGAAACGCAGGGGCATAAGTCTGCTATTTTACGCTGTTATACTTTCAATTTACGGTATTAGTGATATCGTGGTCCGTCTCCGGTAGAACAGAATAGGAAAATTTAACAACAGTTGTAAGATTGTGTTAGATTTTCATCAGTAATAACGGCCGCATCGCGGTCACATATCAACGATTATGCGTGTCGAGAAAACGCAATACACTTTTGGTTACCGGTTAAATACTTACCTAATCAGGAAAAATATTAACTGATTGCGATTATTTAAAAACGCGTTGTATTTTTAATGGTATCGTTATGTCATAGTAATGCGGACTGTCCGATTTCGTTACTAACCCGTTAGAATAAGTCGTGATGAAAGGCCTCTAAATGTAAGAGTAAATGACTATCTCGTGGTCTAGTGGTCGACAAGCCCGACTGTTGATAATGAGGTTTCGGGTTCGAATCACGGGTTGGACCCAATTATTTGGATTTTCTGTCAAGAAATTCTCAGTAGTAGTTCGGAGTTAGAAAGTTGGCAATGTTTAACCCCGTGACTCTGAAAGCACGTTAAGTTAATACTCGTAGTTAAGTCGATTCCATGCTTGATTTCTCTCTCGCTCTATCTCTCTCTCTCTCTCTCTCTCTCTCTGTAAAAGTTGTCCTAAAATGTTTTTCAATAATTGTACTAATCGAAACACAAATTAAAATTTATAAATTAACCATTTTTTATTGCAGGTCACCCTAAGATAAAAGCTTTCGTGACCCATGGTGGTCTACTAAGTATGTTCGAGACGGTCTACCACGGAGTGCCAATTGTGTCCATCCCAGTCTTCTGCGATCACGAAGCTAATGCTGCTAAAGCCGAAGTCGATGGTTACGCTAAAATTCTCGATCTGCAGCATTTGACTTCTGATAAACTATACAGAGCAATAAAAGAAGTTATTGAAGAGCCTAAATATAAAATAGAAGTGAAAAAGAGGCAGATACTGTTGAGGGATCAGAAGGAGACACCTCTGGAGAGGGCAATATATTGGACCGAGTATGTCATCAGACACAAAGGAGCGTACCATTTACTGTCACCAGCGAAAGACTTGAACTTCTTCCAGTACTATTTGTTAGATGTTGCCTTTGTATTCTCTGTGATATTAATAACAATTTCAGTCCTTATCTCCTACATAATTAGGCGTAGTTTTAAGCGGCTAGTTGATTATGTACAAAGCAGGCGCATGAAGAAGTTGATCGCTAAATCAAACGTACTGTTAAAAAACTCGAAAAAGTTTATCGACCCTACTTCAATAGCTAAGAAAAATTTGTAGTTATCCACTGTATACGCGTTTAGGTTATTATTTATGCATAATAGTTACCGAGAGAGTTACCATGTGAGATTGTTATATTTATCACTAATATAAGGTGATTTGAGTTTAAAATTCAGAAGCTAACTTTTGAAGAGATTAAATTAAGTTTAAACGTGTAGGGAATGTTTTGTAAAGATTGTAAATATTTAATGTATTTAGTGTTGTAAGAATTTGATAAAATACATATTTATACAAATTACTTGGCTCATTATTTTATTCGATACACATTGAAGGTATAATGTTTGTGAAGATCATTTTAAAAATAAAAGTAAGAACGAGGAATGATAGTACAGTTTACCTTTTTTCCCTTAACTTTTTTCATCCTTATTTTTTACTTTACGAAAATTCGGTGACGAACGAAATTACAGTTTACCTGATAGTAGCCAATGCAACACAACATGTACATCAAAGCCGAAGTCAAATATAAAATAAAAATAAGATATATTTACTGCAGGAAAACCTGGTGTTTTCTTTAGACCACTCAAAAAGGTAAAGAAAGAAAAAAGCGACTACAAAAACTAAAAATAAATAAATAATAATTTCCACATTTACATCAGTGGATTCGTAGTGTAGTGAGTACCGTGTGAGAGAGTGAGTAGGACACAATGAGTACTCTGACCATCTACTAACAGTGAAATAGTCGTGCTATATTTTAAAAACATGTCGTTGAGTGCCGGTATGAACTTGTGTCTGAAGTAAAGTCTTTGTAAAACAAAGTCTCGGTGTGGGGACGACTAAGTCTAGTCCAATTTAACCCTTAAAACACAGAAGTTAAAAATATAGAAGACGGGGCAAACGAGCATGCGGCTCACCTGATGGTAAGTGACTACCGCCGCCCATGGACAACTACAACACAAGGGGAATTGAAGGTGCAATGCCGGCCGTTTAGAAAGGAGTAAGCTATTTCTTGAAGGTCCATAATATGTCGTATCTGATATTAACAGAAGCAGGACAAAACGAGTTCACCACATAGCTTGAAGCTAGTTATTTCACTAAAAGCTAAGAGTGTTAACGAATAAGGTAATATGAACTTTTTATGGATGAAATTGATAGATCTTCAATTTTCATTTTAAACATCTTGTAATATCGTACATAGTTTTCGAGATAATACCAAAAAGTAAAGATACAAAAATCTGACTAGTTTTGCGATAATTGAACTACTTACACTATTTTAGATCTGCAGTTTTTTTTGTTTGTTCGAACGAAGTTGCGTATAAATGCTACTATTTCTATATTTCCAAATTGAGTTTCGGTCAAGGCGCCTAGTTTAAATGGAGACTAGTCATTTAAATTCAACAGTTCTTTGAGCGGGGCAGGCTTAGAATGCACAAGTGTGAGTGCATATAAAAGTGTACTCTCTATATCCTAAATCTCATAGTCTGTTGGGACAGTAATCCAACTAAACCGAAGACAGGTCAAGCGCAGGACCAACAACTGTACGTGCTTTCCGAGGCACGGGAGTGAAACACCGCAAACTCCCGGCTGCTAATGAGAGTTTTTTGACTAAAAACCTATTAGGAGAATCCTGTACCAAATCATCAGCATTCGCGCTTACGATTCCCGCGACTTCGTCCGCGTGGAATTTATTACGATTGGATTTTATGGCTTTACATTTTTTGCGCTGAAACCCAATTATTTTTCTAAAATAAATGTAGTCTAAGTTACTCCTTATAATATTAGCTGTCCGTGAAAATCAATCAAGCCATTTTGGAGATTAGCCGCAACAAACAGACAGACAAAAATTTTAAAAATAATTTGTTATATGTAGCATAATATATAATTTCATATGCATTTAGTAAAAATCTGTTATTTTGATATTACAAGCAGACACATCAATTTTAGTAAAATGTATAGATTAGTATTGAATGCACATAATATATATACGTGCCATGGCAATCGTTATGAATGTGGCAAAATATTTTTAACGCTTTATAACAGATTGTTTAGTTGAAATAGTTCTTCCATCATCATTATCATCATCATCATCACCATCATTACCCATCATCATCGTTAACCCTCTCTAATGGAATCCCACAAAGCAGGGTTTTATATTATTTGTGTGTGTATGCCGTGTAGTGGCGGTCAAGAATATCCACTACCCCATATCCTCCCGTGGGTGTCGTAAAAGGCGACAAAGGGAAACAGCCAGGAGATGGGCAGCAGCATCTTCCTGATAATAGCCAAATGACAATAAAAAACCTGCGGTTGCCAACCCGCTCGCAAAGCGTGGCAACTATGGCAAATACCCCCCTATGAAGAGAGTAACAAAGAGACGGCCCCCAGTCCCCGGCGGCCCCGCTATTCCTGGCTACGGTGGCGACCATGGTAACGGCGGGGCAGGGGGTGCTAAGAATCTCCGGTGGAGGTTCGGTTGCCACCTTAGACGACTCGACCTGGCAACGTACAACGCACGCACCCTGAGGACTGACGAGAAGATCGTGGAGCTGGAAGAAGAGATAGACAAGTTGCGCTGGCATATTATAGGATTATCTGAAGTCCGAAGAGAGGGGGAGGACACGGTAATCCTCGAATCCGGCAACTTGCTCTATCACCGGGAGGGCGACCATCTGTCCCAAGGAGGTGTCGGATTTATCGTCCACAAGTCTCTCGTTAACAACGTTGTAAAAATCGGGAGTGTGTCGACGAGGGTTGCGTACCTTATACTCAGAATCACCAAACGGTATTCGCTGAAGGTCATACAGGTTTACGCACCAACCTCGGCACACCCCGATGAGGAGGTGGAGGAAATGTATGAGGATATCTCTAGAGCCATGCATTCCTCCAAAACCCAATATACGGTGTTAATGGGAGACTTCAATGCAAAACTAGGCACAAGAGAGAACGGTGAGCTGAAAGTAGGGAAATTTGGAATAGGGCAACGGAACCCAAGGGGCCAGCAGCTGGCCGACTTCATGGAGAAAGAGGGACTCTTTATGATGAACTCTTTCTTCCAGAAGCGGCCCCACAGGAAGTGGACCTGGTCGAGCCCCGACGGTTCCACAAAAAATGAGATTGACTTCATTATGACGACCAGACGACAACTGTTCAGTGGTGTCTCCGTGATCGCGAGGGTGAAAACTGGTAGCGATCACCGAATGGTTAGAGGCACACTGAACCTAAACGTTAAGTTGGAGAGGTCTCGTCTAATGAAGTCAACGCTCCGTCCCCCTCGTGCTCTGTTTCAAAGTCCCGAAACCTTTCAGCTCGAGTTACAAAACCGTTTTCAGTGCCTAGAAGACTGCAATGAAGTGGACGATATGAATGACAAGCTCGTGGAAACTGTCCATGCGGTTGGAGCTAAGTTCTGCAAGACCCGCCGCAGAAGAACACAAAAACTCTCCGATCACACTCTTAACCTCATGGCTGTTAGACGGGAGATGAAGCTACATTCTTCAACAGACTTGACAGCATACAGGCATCTGAACAGACAGATCTCCAAATGCATGCGGCGGGACTTACGCAACTTCAATACAGCTCGTATTGAAGAAGCGATTGAGCGGAACCAAGGCTCCAAAGTCTTTGCCAGAGATCTGTCTGCCAGAAAGAGCCAACTGTCAAAGCTGAAGACAGAATGTGGCAGCATCGTTTCCGGGACACCTGAGATTTTGAGTGAGATTGAGAGGTTCTATGGGCAGCTGTACACATCATCGTTGGAGCCACACGCAAGTGTGAGTAACGATCCAAGAGCGAGTCTCATCCGACACTATTCCGAAGATATCCCGGATGTCAGTCTGAGCGAGATTAGGATGGCTCTCCAGCACCTTAAAAACGGTAAGGCCCCAGGCGAGGATGGAATTACAGCGGAGCTTCTGAAAGCGGGTGGAAGACCGGTACTTGAAGTCCTTCAGAAGCTCTTTAATTCCGTCCTCCATGGTGGCATTACACCGGAGGCGTGGAGCAGAAGTGCGGTGGTCTTGTTCTTCAAGAAAGGTGACAACGCTCTCTTGAAGAACTACAGACCGATTTCCCTTCTGAGCCGCGTCTACGTGCTGTTTTCGAGAGTCATTACGAATCGTCTCGCGCGCAGACTTGACGACTTCCAGCCTCCCGAACAAGCCGGTTTCCGAAAAGGCTTTAGCACCATAGACCACATACATACCCTTCGGCAAGTTGTACAGAAGTCCGAAGAGTACAATTTGCCACTATGTCTGGCGTATGTGGACTATGAGAAAGCCTTTGATTCCGTCGAAATTTGGGCGGTGCTGCAGTCCCTTCAGCGGTGCCAAGTTGACTGTCGGTATATCGAAGTGTTGAAGTGCTTGTACAGTAGGGCTACGATGGCTATCCGAGTACAGAACCAGAGTACGAAACCTATCCAATTGCAGAGAGGTGTAAGACAGGGTGACGTCATATCCCCGAAACTCTTCACCGCTGCATTGGAAGACGTTTTCAAGCTTCTGGACTGGAAAGGATACGGTATCAACATCAATGGCGAGTACATCACTCACCTTCGATATGCCGACGATATAGTCCTTATGGCAGAATCGCTGGAGGACCTAAGCACTATGCTCAATGACCTCGATAGTGTTTCCCAACGGATAGGTCTTAAGATGAACATGGACAAAACTAAGATCATGTTCAATGTCCATGTCACACCTATGCCGATAGTTGTTGGGAACACTAAGCTCGAAGTTGTTGACGAGTATGTTTACCTGGGACAAATAGTCCGACTGGGTAAGTCCAACTTCGACCGAGAGGTCAATCGACGGATTCAACTCGGCTGGGCAGCGTTCGGGAAGCTACGACACATCTTCTCGTCAGACATACCTCAAAACCTTAAAACGAAATTGTACAACCAGTGCGTGTTGCCAGTGATGACTTACGGAACTGAGACGTGGTCCTTCACTGCTGGCCGTATGAGGAAGCTCAAGGTCGCTCAGCGAGCTATGGAGAGGGCTATGCTCGGAGTTTCTCTGCGTGATAAACTTAGGAATGAGGATATCCGCAGTAGAACCAGAGTGACCGACATAGCCCAACGGATTAGTAAGCTGAAGTGGCAGTGGGCCGGCCATATAGCTCGAAGAACCGACAACCGATGGGGAAGAAAGGTTCTCGAGTGGCAGCCTCGTACCGGTAGGCGAAGTGTAGGGCGTCCCCCCACGAGATGGAGTGACGACCTGGTAAGACATGCAGGAAGTCGATGGATGCAGGTGGCTCAGGACCGTGTTTTGTGGCATTCTTTGGGGGAGGCCTATGTT